AAAAAGAAGGGGCTGGAGAGATGGCTCAGCAGTTAAGAGCACTGGCTGCTCTTGCAAAGGACCAGGGTTCAGTTCCCAGCACCCACATGGCAGCTAACAACCATCCATAACTCCAGTTCCAGAGGACTGGATACCCTATTCTGTCCTCTGTGGACACTGCACAACACAGGTACACTTACATACATGCAGGCACAACATTCATACACATAAAATAAAAATAAATAAATCAGGGAGCTGGAGAGATGGTTCAGTGGTTAAGGACACTAGCTGCTCTTGCAGAGGACCCAGATTCGATTTTCACCTTTCACATGGTTCATAACTCCAGGTCCAGGGGAATCCAACTCCCTCTTCTGACCTCCACAGGCACTGCATGACTTGGGTGTACTTACATACATGCAGGCAATACACTCATACACATAAAATAAAAAATAATAAAATACTATTTTAAAAATTTTAAGGTGCTGGAGAGATGGCTCAGTGGTTAAGAGCACTGACTGCTCTTGCAGAGGACCCGGGTTCGATTCCCAGCACCCACCTGCCAGCTAACAAAGGTGGATAACTCCAGTTCCAGGAAATCCGGACACCCTCTTCTGACTTCTGTGTGCATTGCATGAGAGGGTGCACTTACCTACATACAGGCAATACACTGACACACATAAAATAAAAATAATAAATAAAAAATGTTTTAAAGGGTTGTGGCAAGGTCCACGGGGGCAGGCATGGGGAGTGGAGGTGAAGAGGTGACATGGGAATGTGTCAAAGGCTTAAGGAGGTACTGGCGGAAGGACAGCAAACAGTTGTCTACTAAAGAAAGAAGGTCTTCTCCACTAAGATGCCCCTTCCCCATCCCTGAGCTCTTGGGAGCTGTCCCCAGCCTGAGTGGGGATTCCCAGAACACCAGCAGGCCTCAACTCACACTGCACGTCCACGCGGATGGACTTGATGGCCGGTACGCCCACTCCGTTCTCCGCTTTGCAGTAATAGCGACCACCCTGTGTGCGTGCAATGCGCTCAATACGCAGCGTTTCATTGAACACCGATGTCTCCTGGAACTTGTCAGATGCGCTCCCTGCAGTCTTGGTCCACCGCACCTGGGTGGACAGTCACTGCACTGAGGTGTGGCCGAGGGCTGAAGTTCCTGCACAGGTGTCCCCTGCCCACCCCAGTTTCTGCGGCGCATGAAGGGCAGACCCAGACCTGACCTAAACACGCGGCAGGAGGGCACAGATGACCCAGGATGCCACAGCGTGATGATCCACAGGGGGAGGCCAGGGTCAGAGGCAGGAGGAGGCTGTAAGTCAGGGGCCCCTGCAGGGCTGTGGATTGCAGACTTGAGCTAACCTTTTCTTCTTTTCTTTCTGGGCTGGTTGGTGGAAGGACTGGATGAGTACATTCTCAGTACCCAGGACAATGAGAGCTGAATCAACCGTACATCATTCCACTTAGGAGCTTAGTGACCTCTGGGGTTATTCAGCCCGCCATCTCAGATGCCCCGAATGTGAAAGGGATCAACAGGAAGCCAGTTTCAAAGATGGCCTCCTGGTGGTCTTCACTCTCTTCTGCAGGCCCAGACCATTCTGTTCTAAGCAGGGTCTGTGTCACCAATAGGATAAGACAGGAGAGAGACTAGGATGTAAAACTGATTTCCACCTTGGCCTCACTGGATCTGGAGAAAGCTCATTCTCCTGTCCTGAGCAGTCTTGTGGAGAGGTGAACTCAATATCAGCCCCTGCCCTCTCTTGGAAGAGAATTCTCTAGCCCTAGCCATCCTTAGATGACTGACATCCAGCTGCAGTCTTGTGAGCGACCCTGAGTCAGAATCAGCCAGCTAAGCTGCTCCTGGATTCCTGCCACAGGCTCTGAGAGACAGGAAATATTTGTCATGCTTTCAAGCCCCTGAGTTTTGGAGTGTTTGTTAATCAACAATAACTAATACAGCATAATGCCCACTTTGCAAAGTTATGGGGCTTAGGAAGTAAAGCACCTCATTGTGGTGCCTGGAAAACATTAGTCACTCAACAAATTCTATTATTAATATTGCCCTAGATAATGGAGGGAAAAATCAATGATCACCTGAGCTATCTACTACTCAAAGTACTAGAGGTTAAAGAAAACCTGATGAAGGCCAGGTGTAGCACAAGCCTTTAATCCCAGTGATGGGAGATGGAGGCAGGCAGATCTCTGTGAGTTCAAGACCAGCCTTGTCTGCATAGGAAACCTGATCCTGGGGCTATAGAAATGTGTCAGAGGTTAAGAGCACTGGATGGTATTGCAAAGGGCCTGGGTTCAGTTCCCAGCACCCACATGCCAGCTGGGCATTGTTAGTAACTCTGGTTCCAGGGTCTCTGACACCTTCTGGCCCCCAAAGGTACTGAGTATAAGTGGCACACATACATACACACAGGCATACGCTCATACACATAAAATGGATTGATGAGGGGAAATGGGTGGTGAACTTCAGTCTTGAATCTGGAGAAGACTGCTTATTATGAGACATGACAAGACCCCCAATCATGGAGTATATGTCAGGCCATAATCCACAGAAGCAAGGCTGGGGAGAAGTGGGTAAAAGGGCAACCCTTCTTACCTACATGGAGAAGCACTTCTTCGTCCTACCCTCAACACCCAGTCCTAGAGGTTATATAACTTAGGGAAAGCTAGAAGCATAATTAGGAGAGATGAAACAATTTTTTGCACTTAATGTCTTATGGTTTTATAAACACACAACTTGAGACTTGGTTTTCTTTATCCATCCCTGCCTTTCTTCAATTCTTCAAAATTCTCTGCGTTTGTCTCTTTAGTTATTGCCTCCTGTCTGTCTTCTCCATTTACCCCTTCAATATTTAAATTTACGTTGTAGCGTCTCGTCTTTCCCTCTATGTCTTTCAACTTATTTTTATATTTCCTTTTCTTTTCTTTTTCCTCTTTTTTGGGACAGAGTCTCAAATATCCCAAGCTAGCATCAAATGCACCTAAGAACGACTTTAAACTCCTGATTCTCCTGCCTCCACCTCCCAAGTGGCTGGGATTATAGGTGTACTTGGTTTATGCAGTGCTGGGACTTGAACCCAGGACTTCAGGCATGCTAAGGAAGCATTCTACCAGTGGAACCACAACCCCAGTCCCTCTTTTTCATGTTTTCTACTGCTTCCACAGACTCATTGCTAATTTCTTTGATCTATCACCCAACTCACTAATTTTCTCTTTGGCTATCTCTGGAGGTATTAAGGCCATTTCGTTTTTACAACATTGCATTGTTGTTATTTCTAGGATTTCTTTTTGCTTTTTCCCATATCTAGTTGACCATATTTTATTATCTTCTATCTCCAGTATTTCAAGCATATTTATTTTGAAGCTTTCTTTGGGGTGCTCTGTTTCTTCTAGTGTTCGGCTAGCACTTGTTCAAAGAGTTGAGTCTATGATGTAAAATGTGTTTTACATTTTATGGTATAAATTTGTGCTTAGTGGGATTATCTTCCATAGAAGTTACTTGGGCCCCTGCAGACCTGTCTGGGGTAGAGTTTCACAGTTGTCTATGACCAAGCTAATGGGTTCATAGGGTCCAACAAGTTTTTGCTAGCTTTTCAGCTTAGAATTTTCTTGCCACTTGGGTTGCAAGACACAGACAGACTCAGGGTTCTCCTTTCTCTGTTGGTACTAACACCCTGAAGCACAAAGCCTGTTGCCTGCTGTGACACTGAGCTGCAGTAATAGAGATTCTTTGGTCCCCATTCATGGGTGGAAGCTCTTGTTGTGCCTCCAGCTTCAGTCTAGTTCTAGCTCTTAGTTGTTTGGTTATACAATTGTAGTCTGTTGTTTGGATATACAATGTCCCCTGAAGGCTCATGTGTTCAAGACTTTGTTGCTAGCCAGCAGGTTTTAGGGATGGGGGTGGATTAATTCATTGATGGGTTCAGGTTTTGTGGGGAATAGTGGAAACTAGGAGACAGAACTAGTTTGAAGAAGTTTGCCAATGGGGATTATATCTTGCCCCAATATATTATGAGTCTCCCATGAGCTTTCTTGTAGATGACACCTAATAGCTTTTAAACTGTCCCCAGGGGCTAGAGAAATGGTTCCACAGTTAAGAACACTGGCTGCTCTTGTAAACGACCTGGGTTCAGTTCCCAGCATATACACGGCAGTTCACAACTGTCCATAACTCCAGTTCCATGGGATCCGACGCCATCTTCTGGCCTCTGTGGGCATTGCATGCATGAAGTGCACTTATATCCATGCAGGCAAAACATTTATACACATAAAATATAAATAATAAATAAACAATAATAAATAAATAAATAAATAATAGACAACTGTTCCCAGCAATGCTCCACTCCTTGTCCTCCAAGGGACAATGCTTTTCTCTGTTTCTTCCATGTTCCAAGGGAAGTGGTTTTTCCCTCTCTCCCGACCCTGCTCTCAGGGGAAGACCCCTTTTATATCCCAATAATTAGATGTGAGATTAATTATTCCTGGGAGAATGAAACAAAAGCACAAAGACCATAAGTCATTCTCTTAGATTTACAGAGCCCAGAACATTCCAGTGGCCTACAGAGAGCAGCAGTTTGTGTGTCACAAAGGCAGAACACCCAGAGTCTGTGACCATTTTGGGACCTCAAACTACTTTGCATCCCCCTCCCCTGCACCTCCTCCACAGCTCCCTGTAAGCCTGGCACCTACAACCTCTAGGCAGAAGGTCTTTGTTGGTGACAGTCACTTTTGCTTTTTTTGTGTGTGCTTTTTTTTTTTTTTTTCTTTTTCTTTTGAAACAGGGTCTCATGTTTCCTAGGCTGGCCTTGAACTTGTTATGTTGATGAAGATGACTGTGGACTTCTGGTCCTCCTGTCTTTATCTCCCAAATCCTGGGATTATCGGTGTGACCACCATACCTGGCTTTTGAAGTGCTGGGGATCAAACCCAGGGCTTTGCACATGCTAGGCAAGCCCTCTACCTACTGAGCTGCATTCCATTCCTCCATCATTTTTGCTTACTAGCTTTCTAAATCACTCTTTTTAATGAATATTTTATTTATTATTTATTTTTAATTTTATTTTTTATTTTTATTTTATGTGTATGCATGCATTGCCTGCATGTAGGTGAGTGCACCCATGTTATGCCATCTCTCCAGCCCCGCAGTCTTTGACAGTTGTTATCTGCCATGTGGGTGCTGGGATTCGAACCCGGGTCTTCTGCAAGAACAACCAGTGTTCTTAACTGCTGAGCCATCTCTCCAGCCCCTTATTTATTATTTTTATTTTGTATGTATGAATGTATTATGTGTATGTATTAAGAGCACCCATGTCATGCAATGCCCACAGAGGTCAGCAGAAGGCTCCAGATTTCCCTAGAACTGGCGTTACAAAGGGTTGTTACCTACCATGTGGGTGCTGGGAATTGAAGCCAGGTCCTCTGCAAGAACAGCCAGTCCTCCTAACCGCTGAACCGTCTCTCCAGCCCTCTAAATCACTTTTTCCTTGTTCAGCAACTTGTGCTCAAGTTAGTGGCCTGTTTGAATGGCTGCAATGAACTTGGGTTTGTGAGTACCCCCTCAGGGCAGATTCCCTCTGCATTTTGGACCCCAGCATGTCCACTCTTTTGCTTCTTATTTGAAGCAAGGAACTTCATGTCCAATCAGTCCTCTATCCTAGTGTGAGACCCTAGTGTGAGCCTTGAGGCCCGTCTATCCCTTGCTCCCCTGCTGGCCTGGGTATTCTGTGACAATGGAAACTCAAGCTGCATCCTCCACAGCCCTTGTGTTTAGAACTTGACAGGTTCTAAACAAGCAGGAGAGATACAGGATGGCATCTGGGGAGAGGGATGCAGCAGTGGCAGGAGCAGGAGGAATAGGCTGTGCCGGGGGAAAGATGGGAGGTATGTGTGACTGGGACACAGGTGTGCAAAGGATGTCAGGGGCAGGAGGGCTGGGATGTAGAAAGTCTGTTCTACTTGGGCAAGCCCTGGGGGAACCTAGCTGAATAATGGGGAGCCACTGATTGTGCTGAGCAGGAGAGTGAGTTCATGGAGGAGATTTGGAGATGGTCATCTAATAGAATGCAGGAATGAGGGTGGAAGGGGCCAAGGGGAGAGCCAGAGAAGTCCATTTCAGGTCTACTGCAGTGGTCCAGGGCAGGACTAAAGATCTGAGCTACAGGGGTGATGAGGAGGCGATCCATGTAAGAGACAAAAATCAAAGTCAGGCATGGTGGTGCATGCCTTTAATCCCAGCACTCAAGGCAGATCTCTATGAGCTTGAGGTCAGTCTAGTCTACATAGAAAGTTCCAGGTCAGGTAGAGCTATAGGGAGACCCTGTCTCAAAAGAAACAAAAACAAAACAACACCAACAAACAGTCAAAGGGTTAGAGTCTGACCAGGTGTCGGAGAAGACATGGGACAGAGTCAAATATGAGCCCAGAGCGTGTGAGCCTGTCAGACAGGGTGAACAATAAAGTCACTGACAAAGACCGGAAGACCGAGGCTGGGGCTGTGGCTCAGCCTGTAGAGGGCTTGCCAAGCATGTAGGAAGTCCTGCGTTCCATCCCCAGCACCACATAAACCAAGTAAGATCCCTCACTGCGATCCCAGCACTAGAGAAGTAGAAGCAAGATGAGAAATTCCAGGTTATCTTCAGCTATGTGGCGAGTTCGAGGCCAGCCTGGCTGGGCTACATGAGCAAAAGGAAAGAAAACAGGAAGCCAGGTGTGTTCACAGCCACAGCCACCAGTGGGCATTCACGGCACACACCCAAACACAGCCGGCCAGGGTGACCTTAGGAACAGACTGCCCAGCTGCCTTACTCACCACATCTCCACTGTGGTCGTCATATGTGACGTAAACACCAAAATGCAGCCTCACTGTTATTCAGTGCTAAACAAACCTTTGAGACGGAGCAGGTTTCAGACAGAAAGAATCTTTAGGGGTTTCTTTTTGTGTCTCCTTATCTCAAAGCCTGAGCTATAAAAGCCATCCTCATTCCCCTGAATTATCCAGAAATAAAGGATTCTGAATTTCAATGTCCTTCCTAGAATCCAATTGTCACCTCAGCTGCTGCTAGTAAAGTATTGAAGGTCACAGCGGCTGGTCAGCCAGGTCCTCCAGCCTTCCAGCCCACCTCCTCCCATCCACCCTCAGCAATAAACCAGGCAGCGCTTCCTTCCTGAACCCAGGCACTTGATCTGAGACAATCTCATCAGTTATTTCCAGACACTTGTCTTCTGTCCTCTTCTAATTGCTTTGTGTCTTTGAACCTCCAGAGTGTACCTCTCGCCTGCCAGAAGCCTCCTGAAGTGATTGTTTCCTGTGCCCCTTGTCTCTCCTGCAGTCCTAACCCAAAGATGGATGCTCTGGGGGCCAGTGTACCAAGCTATAGAGGACACAGCTTCTAGATTCAAATTCTGTTCCCACTCCCACAAATGCCTAGCCTCCCTGAGCCTCACTTTTCTTAGCTGCAAAATGGGGCTTTTGCAGGAGTCAGGAAAAAAAACAAAACAAAACAAACAAACAAACAAAAAACAGGGAAGGGGCCCTGCATGTGTCTGGCACATGATCTGCCCTCCAGCACTGGCTGAGGGTGTGTGCAAGGAAGTGCATGCTCTGCAGAGATGAGGGATGGGGTGGAACTCAACAAGTGACACTCCATTTTTCCTCTCAGTCATCAGTGTTTTCGGGTGATGGAACCCACAGCCTCCAGCCCTTCCCCACAGAGTTAATTTCCGAGCTAGTCCCCCAACCCCAGCCCTACCTGTTGCGTAATGTTTGTTTGTCCTGTGGAGTTGTAGTCCCCGGCTTCGGCTGCCTCACAAACTCTAATGTCGGGCAGTGGGATGTGGACAGGATGGGACTTAGCAGGGCCAAGGCCAGGCTCACCTGGGGTCGAGGGTGCCCAGTGACCAGGCACTGCAGCACCAGGGTGTCGCCCTCCCGGATGGTGTAGACCCGCTCACTGATGTTATCCTCTTTCACCACACAGGCCTGGCCCGCATGCACAATCTGAGCCTGGGCTGGAGCTGAGGAGAGAGGACAGAAGAGGTTAGTTAGGGAAGCTGCTCGGAGCGAAGAGGCTGGGGCTGCCTCTGAATGTGTGTGGGAGAGGCTAGCCCCTCCCAGGCTATTCCTTGGAGGCCTGACCTCACTGGGTCAACCAAGAGGCCTGAGGACTTGGGAAAGAGGTGGTTTTGCACCCTTTCCCATTCCCCATGGGCTATCTGTGCTCTTCAGTGAGGAGACTCTACAGACTGACTGATGCTCCATTAGCTTCTTAGCTTTACTGTCTTGGCAATCCTCAGTCTTGGGTGTTGCACCCAGACCTGGAGTATGACAGGTGTACCCATCCCCCTCTGCAGTGCTCACCTTGCCGGAGACTGCTCCCAGCAAAAGGAGCTGCCTTGGTCAGAAGGGCCTAAGATGATCTGTTACACACACACACACACACACACACACACACACACACACACACTGCTGCTCAGGCTCTAGAACTCCTCCTGAAGGCAGACTGAAGCTAAGGTCCCTGAACCCCATCTTTGCTTAGCAGCTTCTCTTAGTTTCTCTTTTTTTTAAATTTACATACTTTTATGTGTATGAGTGTTTTGCCTGTGTGCGTGTAAGTGCACCCATGTCATGCAATGCCTGTGGAGGCCAGAAGAGGGCATTGGATTCCCCTGGAACTAGAGTGATGGGCAGTTGTTAGCTGCCATGTGGGTGGTGGGAATCGAACCTGGGTCTTCTGCAAGAGCAGCCAGTGCTTTCAACCACTGTGCCGTCTCTCCAGACCCACTCAATGTCTCTTGAGAGCACTCACCCAGAAAATCATGTTTCTACACCACACCCACCCACCCCAACCCACTCAAGTCTCTATTTTTATTTATTTGCTTATTTATTATTTTTCATATGTATGTGTGAGTGGTATTCACACATGTGTGTGGTATGTATGTGTGGCAGGTGCATGTGAACATGTGCACATGAGTGTGGGGGCATGAAGTTGGCTTTGGGTGTCTTCCTCAATCACTCTCCACTTTGTTCATGAGGCAGCGTCTCTCAGTGGCTCATATGACCTGTCCATCCAGCTTGTTCCAGGGATCCATCTCCTACCTTCTGAACAACCACTGGAATTAATGGTGGGCTGCCACACCTGCCCGGCCTTTATGTGGGTTCCGGGGAATCTAGATGCCAGTCCTCATGTGGCAAGCACTTTATCCACTGAGCCGTCTCCCACACTCCCTCAGCCTGCTTTTTGCTTTTTGTTTTTCCGAAGATAAGCCAGCACAGCTCTCTCTCTCAGCTTCTCCCAGGGCTGGCTCGTTTTATTCACACTGTTCCCAAGCTGTACATAGCTCCTTTTCCAAGGGACAGAGGTTTTCACAGTGGCTAGGTGCTCTTGAGGGGCTAAGGCTCCCTCCCTCCCTCCCAGTGTCCAGAGCCAGGGGTCCATGCCAATGATATAGCTAGAAGGGTACCGTGTCTAGCCCTAACTTCCTAACAGCAAACCACCCTCACCCACCAGTACTTGGGCTCTGGGAAGGAGGCAAGGCTCCCAACTTCACAGCTGCCTGCTTAGAGTTGGGAGTGCAAGTAACTGGAAGAGCAGATTCAGTGATGAGGAACACAGGGGAGACCTCCTCCAGGGAGCCTTCCAGGATGAACAGGCACACCCCCACCTCCTGTATTCAGTCAAGATGTGTAGACATGTGTCTGTCAAGTTCAAGACTGTGGTCCTTTGGCCTGACAATCTGTGAGACTCATCTTGGTCCCTACACAAGGCCCAGTACAATGGTCACTCGGCCTATGTTAAGAAGGGAATATACAAAGATATTACTGGGGAGAGGTTACTGAGGGTGGCTCTGGGAGGTTCCAGGAAAAAGCAGGGGGACCCAGAAGGCTCCATAGAAGAGACAGTGTTTACCCCACACATCAAGACACAGGTAGGTCCCGTGCTAGTGGCTAAGGCTGAGTCCCACATCATATGATACCTAAGGTAGGACAGCAGTGATCTCTGGGCCTTATTTCACCTGTTTCTGAAACGGGGAAGCAATCCACCCCTAGAACTTACATCACTGAAGGTGTTAATACAATGAATGAAAAACAGAAGTGCCATGTGTTCTAAAGACTGTCACACTGATAGAACAAACAAACTAACCAGAGAACCAACTCCAGAGATAACCAGGCAATGGGGCAAGAGACTGTTTGTTTGAGACAGTCTCACCAAGCTCAGACTGACCTCTCACTTGCTTTATAGCTGAGGATGAACCTGAACCCCTGATCTTCCTGCTTCCACTCCCTCTCCCTGAAGTGCTTAGGATGACAGGCATGCACCATAGAGGCTAGCTAGGCTAAGAAACTTGTGGGGCAGCCACTAGGCATGACACTGGTCACACTAACCATGCAAATGTCTGCAAACAGAGTCCAGGTGACCATCCTGCTTGCATGGCTGTCACAAAGGACTGAATCTAGGTTGAGTAGACAAGAGACAAGCTGTGTGTCACTGGGCAACTCAAGTCACCTCTCTGAGCCTGTTTTCCTACCTCTATGAAGGAAGTAGATTGATAATCCTCCCTCTGTGAAAGAAGTGGATTGATGATCGATACACTTGCCATTAATCTTGTAATCAGTGCACGGTGCCTATATAAGATGCACACCAGACTCCAGGGACCGTGCCTGTCACTGTCATCGTTCTATGAAAATGCATGAACATCACCATACAGGAAGAGATAGGCATCTGTGGTCCAGGTCCCCAGGAAAACTCATCAAACAACAAGCTACCAAGAGATGCTGTGCATGCTGGTTGCTGATAAGAACAGGAGGCCACATGAATGTCTGCAGGAAGCCTGGGGTGCCTCTCAACAAGGAAGACATCGGTTGAACAGGCATCAATGGAAGATAAGCTATAATCTTGGATGCTGCAGCTTGCCCACAGCAAGGCGGGTGTTGTAAAGACAGAAGCTTTGGTGACTGATAAGGGATGATGAAAAAGAGTGAGAAAGCTGCACACACTCAGGGTACAGCCAGCCTGGGCCAGAGTGTGGGGGACCTGGCCAGCAGACACAGGGCCTGTTGCTTCCTCACTGGCAGTGAGCCAGGAATGGCCATCATGGATGACAGCATTAAGATTATCCAACACCCTTTGGCGACATTAGCTATTAAGACTACCTGACTCCAATGTGATAGCTCACACTGGAAGAGAGCTGGAGCCATACCTATTAAAGCTAAACTTGAGTGTCCCGTGATGATGTCGTTTCCCTCTTAGGGCCATAAGCAAAAGAAATAAGTGCCTATGACAATCAGACAACAGGTTCATGAATCTTCCAAGGGGCTGGAGAGAGATGCCTCAATGGTTAAGAGCAAGTATGTTTTCAAAGGACCCAAGTTCAGTTCCTACCCCCCACATTGGGCAGCTCACAACCACCTATAACTCCAACTCCAGGGGCATCTGTCAGCTCTGGTTTCTCAGGCACCTGCACACACATATGTATATCCACACAGATACACACACACATAATTCAAAATAAAATAAATCTTTTTAAAAAAGAATCTTCTCAGAGGCTGGAGAGATGCCTCAGCAGTTGAGAGCACTGGCTGTTCTTGCAGAGGACCTGAGTTCGATTTGTAGCACCCACATGGTGGCTAACACCCATCTGTAACTCCAGTTTAAGATACTCTGATGCCCTCTTCTGGCAACTGTGGGCATAGCATGCATGAGGTACACTTACATACATGCAGGCAAAACACTCATACACATAAAGTAAAATTTTAAAAAGAATATTCTGAGTGAATTTCCTTCTAATAAGCCAAAAGCCAGGAAGAAAGAAGAGTGGCACAGGTGAGCTGAATTTAGTGGCATGCACTTGTAATCCTAGCACCAGGGAGGTAGAGGCAGGAGGATTGCTTCAAGTTCCCAGCCAACCTGGTCTACCCAGTAAATTCCAGGCCAGGCAGGGTTATACAGTGAGCTCCTGACTCAAAAAAATAAACCATTAAAAGGAGTAACATGGATGTGGAAATGCTGGTCTTTCTGTGTGTGTGTGTGTGTGTGTGTGTGTGTGTGTGTGTGTGTGTACACATGTGCCACAGTGCATGTATGGAGGTCAGAGGACCGCTCCAGGTGTTAGTCTTCTCCTTCAAGCTTTTTTGAGACAGGGTCTCTCTATTCACCGCTACATACCCCAGGCTAGCTAGCAACCCAACTTCTGGTGATTCCATCTCTGCCTCCCTTCTCCCAGCTGCGCATGCTGGGATTACAGACTCTCATTACCCCATCCAACTTTTACATGGGTTCTGAAGACCCAACCCAAGTCATCAGGCTTGTGCAGTGCTTTACCCACTGAGCCATGTCCCCAGCCCACGCTGGTATCTTTATACGGTGACGCATCACCCATAAGTGAAGAAAATGAACTGTGGTTAGGCTGACACGGCCGAACCTCCCAGGCACAATTTGACAGGACCCAGACACAAAAGCGTCTATAATGTATGATTTCATTTATTCAAAATTCAAAACTGCAAAAGCTAATCTTGTAGTGACAGAGGCTTGGCAGTGACTGCCTTGGGTAGGACAGGGTATTATTAACTGGGAAGGGAATACCAGAGCATCCAGGGAGAAGGTGGGACAGAAGGCATCTTAATCTGAATTGTGGTTACACAGTGGCTGGATTCACATGTAAAAATAAATCCAGGAATTTGCTTAGGCATTTCTCCCTATCCGGTACGATTTCCCCTGGCCAGACTCCTGTGTTAGAGGCTTGGTTCCCAGCTGGTGGGGAGAGGTGATTGGATTGTAAGGGTGCCAACTTCATCAATGCAAGTACCGTTGATAAAGGAGACTGGGGATGTAGCTCAATTTGTAGGCTGCTCACCTAGCATGCTTGAAGCTCTGGATTTGATACCCAGCACTGCATAAAACCAGGCATGATGGCACATGCTTGTAATTCCAGCACTTAGAAAGAAGCAGGAGGATCAGAAGTTCAAGGTTATCCTTGACTACACAGGGAGTTTAGGCCATCTCGGGCTACCTGAGACC